AGACAATATTTGTAAATAACACTAATAATTTGACTTAAACACATTTTTTGTATACTCAACTAAAACCTCAAAAACCAAGAATACTTTTCATATTCCATGAAGCCCATGTACAAAACACACATCTTCTCTTTAAATATTGAAATTGTAGGGAAAAACAAAATTTGCCTAATACAATGGAAAGGCCCAGGAATGCTTTTTATGATACTGGTGATCCTGCTTCAAGTCAATTGTAGCACACATGTGACTGATCCAGCAGAATAACAACCAGTTGGATAGGGGAACTTGCTGTCATGTTAGGATAAGTAGCAGCCGATTTTTATTTTTTGTACATATATATATAAAACAATATTTCTGTATCATATTCTAAACTAGTCTCCCTGAAAACATTTGAGATTATGCAAAAGCTCACCCTGTTATTTCCAGTAAACTCAGTATCATTCTTTTAAAACACAATACACTTCTACTGCACTCAGGAAAAAGAAAAGAAAAAACAAACAAGTTCATAAAGTTGGAATTACCCAATACATATTTTTGTTGTATACATATATTTAGGCTTAAATGAAACAATCCTTAACTTTAGCCTCACTAAGATTTACTTATGAGAATACACAGTTCAAATATAACTATAATTAAAACCTCTGAGGAAACCACTTACTAATCTCATATTTCAGTTCAACACTACTCAAGACTAAGCAGAGTATTAACAGTACTATTAAGTTAGAGATTGTCTACTAGGTTCAAAAAAGAAAAAAAAAACATTATATAACTTGTTTTGTAACAACAACAAAAGTATTATCCTAAACATCATCTTAACAGAAGTTTACAAAGACTTTGTGATCAGTTTTATCAATAATATAAATGTAAGAAATTATTGAACTTTTCTCCTGAACTTTCAAATGTGATGAGGAGAAAGAAATGTGCAATATTTATTCCCTAAAAGTGTTACTTTCATTCTATTCATTAATCCCTCTGAGTATAGAAGGATTGTGCTTTTGATTAAAACACAGATTTTTATTAATTTATCCAACATAGAATTTGTCTTAACTTGTATGTAACAAGCTACTTAAAAGCCACAAATAATTATATTTGTCAGCAAAATTGCAAATTTGAAATGTTGGAGGGATAAAGTTATATCCTTTTCTTTAAAGTAAATAACACTCATTCCAAACAATAGGAAAAGAGTATTTCTCAAATGTTACATAATTATACACATAAAAACATAAATATATATCTATACACACACATATTTAAAGTACAGTTCAAAACCAGTGGACAAGAGTGTAAGTGATAAGTAACAAAAAACATAATATTGCATCAAAAAATTTAAGAATATAATATACAATCAAACTGTAATTTCATTAAGTTTTCTAAAAGGGTTAAGTTTTTACATCCTTCTCTATTCTTAGGAATTTGTACTAACTTTTAATATTTTATGATCCTATTTCCTGATCACTTGCATTTTGTCCTTGTTGCAAAACATATCTCGGTTTTGATTGGCTCATCAAACAGTTTGAAAGTATTTTGTGCAAATATATACTAGTTTGTTTTAGGCTAACATTTTTATTCATTATTATTTTGATTGGTTATTTTGAATACTGTAATGGATTTTAAAAATTAAGTTTGTCTCTTTTTCATTTTCCAAACAAATTCTTTAAAACACTATGCTAAAAAGGGCTCAATTATTATTTTATTTGACCTGATTGGGATGTGTAAAAAATTTTTAAGAGGGCACATAAAAACAAAAGTTACATGCTCAGTCATGTATGCAGAAATTCTCAATGCCTCAAAAACAAAAATAACTAATTTCTTGGTTAACAAAAACCTTGGTTATGCATATTTCATGCTAAGCAGCTATCTGAAATTCAATTTCATAAAGCTTCCTTTTTGTAATGCATCAATCATTTGTAGTAAGATATGAACTGCAGTCTCTTGTGCTAATGAATAATCTGGATGAATCTATCTTTTGGTGATCACAATTAATGTATCACTAGAATTATGTGAAATTTTGTAAAAATAATCAAAACTATTGGTTACAGCTCATAGCTGTGCTACAAAGTATCTAGAACAGTAATTAGTTTATTTATAAATAACCTTTAGTTGAGTCATACAAAGTATTGTTCTTTAAGGGCTCGAAGGTGAAAATATTTTCAATTTGTTTTATGTGTGTTTGTATCAAGGAGATAGGAAGATAGTTTGGACGAAAGCCTTACATCACTAGTAAAATGTCATTGCTGTTCCAAGTAGTAATGAAATAAATGGAAACAATGGATATTCAGAAGTTCCTTATGGCTAAGTACAGTTGTATATAATATTACGTAGAATGTAGGAATTCTACCATAAGTGGAACAATTTGAAACATCTTTTGTAAATGACCAATTGAAATGATAAAAATTGTATGGAAAAGGTAGCAGTATTACGAACAAAAGCTTGTAATAACTTACATGGTCTTAATGCAATTAATAACATAGGGTGATGCAGTACAAGGTTTGTTATAAGCTTCCAAATAATACTGATCAAACAAGCTCCTGTAAGGTGATCCATTGTGTGTGGTATAGATGAAAGTAAATAAAGTAAAAAAGGCACAGAATGTGCATATTAGCAAAAACTGCTGCAACGAATTGCAAAGCCATGATAATTCAAACATGTATTGTTCAGCCAAAAGAAACTGGTTGTGTTTTTTTGGCATTGCATATTTCACTGAAAAACAAAAACTGATTTTAGTTAGTTCTTTAATTTGGAGCTGTGTGTGGACAGAATTGCATAAAATGACAGAGGTGCCATAGAGTTTGTGTAACATACAAGCAAAGGGAATTCAGTGCACAGTTGGTGTTCAATTTATATGTGTAATGACAGTTAATAGTAATTATTATAATGTGGTTAAAAGACATTTTCTATGCATGATGTACCCATGACAGTAAACCTGCAAAGTAGATTTTAAATTTGCCGATGCAAAAGGTGTATATGAAACTATTTTAAACATTCTAGATGTAAAAGTGAGTGAAGAATAGGGGCTAAAGAAATTAGCAATTTGCAACCTTAGAGAAAATTGATGCTATGAAATGAGATATTCCTCATCTTATTCACATTCACTGCATTGCACAAAAACTTGATCTTGCAATTGGAGATTCACTTGAGAAAGGTAATTCATGAATAACTAGCGAGTCCACTGAATAATAATGGATAATTAATTGTGACAGTATGTCACATTATCCATACACCTAAAGTACTTGAGGTTATTAATGGTGAGTAAAACCAAATGTGGTTGTTAGTTAATGGCAAGCTATGGCAATTTGCTGAAAAAATAATATATCAGTTGATGTGCATGTAGAAAATACTGCTGCAGACACAACTTTTAAATTAGCAGGTCCAAAGACTATTTAAAAAGAGCTCAAAAGTGTGTTTTATGAAAATTCAGAATTATTGGCTTCATTCAATAGGCAGAGATGAAAGTGTCCCTTTCTTAAAAATCCTGAAAATAATCGAAGCCAAGTAAAGGGGGTCCAGCACCCAAAATCGTGCATTTTGATGCATTTTAGTACTTAAAATTCACTTAAACAGGTTACCCTATTTTCTTACATCAATGATTATCAAATACATGTGAGAAATATCAAATCTGATTCCCGTAGTTAATGGATAATTTCAAGAGTGCATTCTTTAGGTAATTCATAATTTTAC